AAAAAAATTAGCTGGGTGTGGTGTCACACACCTGTAATCCCAGCTACTCAGGAGGCTGAGGCACTAGAATTTCTTGAACCAGGAGGAGAAGGTGGCAGTGAGCCAAGATTGCATCACTCCTCTCCAGCCCAGGTGATAGAGTGAGACTTTGTCTTAAAAAAAAAAAGGCCGAGTACAGTGGCTCACGCCTGTAACCCCAGCACTTTGGGCGGCCAAGGCAGGCAGATCACGAGGTCAGGAGATCAAGACTATCCTGGCTAACAAGGTGAAACCCTCATCTCTACTACAAATACAAAAAATTAGCCAGGCATGATGGTGGGTGCCTGTAGTCCCAGCTACTTGGGAGGCTGAGGCAGGAGAATGGTGTGAACCCAGGAGGCGGAGCTTGCAATGAGCTGAGATTGCGCCACTACACTCCAACCTGGGCGACAGAGTGAGACTCCATCTCAAAAAAATAAAATAAAAAGGCAGTATAGGCAGACTGCTAGAGTGGTTTGGCAAGTGGGTAAAAGAAAGGATTCTTGGGGCCAGGTGCAGTGGTTCAAACACCTGTAATTCCAGCACTTTGGGAGGCCAAGGCAGGCAGATCACCTGAAGTCAGGAGTTCGAGACCAGCCTGGCCAACATGGTGAAACCCCGTCTCTACTAAAAACTACAAAAATTAGCTGGGCGTGGTGGTGCGTACCTGTAATCCCAGCTACTAGGGAGGCTGAGGCACAATAATTGCTTAAACCTAGGAGGCAGAGGTTGCAGTAAGTCGAGATCACGCCACTACACTCCAAGCCTGGGCAACTGAATGAGACTGTCTCAAAAAAAAAAAAAAAAAAAAAGAAGCCGGGCGGGTTGGGTTCTTGGTCTACACAGAGATTGTGTTTTGTATCAGTAGGGAGGAGCAGGCAGTAGGCAATCTCAAGTAGATAACAGGGCCTCAACTTACAGGCGTGGCATTTAGGACTAGATTTAACTTCACTTGATTTTCATTTAAACATAACAAATTGAATATGTTTAATTTTATTTCCTTCAAAGCGCTATTATTATAGTGAAGGAATAAAACAAATATAAACTCTCAAGGACAAAGAGACAAAGATACCTAAGAAGAAAACAACAATGGGGAAGAAGATGCTGAAATTTTGGAAAATGGAAAGCAGATAGAGACTTGATTACTGGCTTAACAGAGGAGCAGCCTGTAATTAGATGCTGTAAAGGGGGCTACTGAGGAGAAGGAAGGCAGTTCACCTGTTAGAGCTCTGGCATGGCTCAGGCCAGGTGGAACTAAGTAGTCTGGAAAGAAGGGATATGCATAGCATAGAATTAAAAAGAGTTGATTATAAGTCTGAAAACTGAGTGATCAGACCCTCTTCCCCACCCTGGAATTCATCTTTATATATGGTATTAGAAAAGGATGTGGTTTTGTTCTTCTCCGTATAGTGAACCAAGTACTCCCTATGAAAAAATCCATTTCCCTTCCTGATTTGTGCCACTCTTAAAG